ACAACTATTGAGCTTGTGCTCTAGAGCCCAAGTGGCATAACTACTGAAGCCCAAGCACCCTAAAGCCTGTGCTCCACAACAAGAGAAGCCACCACAATGAGAAGCCTGCAATCCACAATCAGATTAGCCCCTGCTTGCTGCAACTAGAGAAAGTCTGTGCAATGAGCACCCAGCACAGCCAAAAAATAAGTAAATTATTTAAAAGAGACAAAATGCCTTTAAACTTAAAAAAGATGCAATTTCATTCATAGAGAGGTGAGAACACAACTCAAATGAGACACTATTTTTTCACTTATTAGATGACAAAGATAAAACTTTTTGGTAACACTTCTAGTGAGAGTGGGGAATTATTACTATTGTCAGGCAGTGTGGATGATAATGCAAATGCTTGAAGCCTTTGTGTACAGCCTCAGTAATACCTATCAAAGCTACAAATGCTGGAACTTTCCTGGCAGTCCAGTGGTTAAGACGCTGCATTTCCAAAGCAGGGAGTGAGGCTGGCTCCCTGAACTAAGATCCCACATGCCACATGGCATGGCCAAATAGAAAAAAAAAAAAAAAAAAAAAAAAAAAATATATATATATATATATATACACACACACACTTATGCTTAGATATAATTCTACTTCCAGAAACTTTAAACCATAGAAACAGCCGCACATAGTAAATAAATGAACAAGGACTGTGTGTGTGTGTGTGTGTGTGTGTGTGTGTGTGTGCGCGCGCGCATGTGTGTAAGATCTTAGTTCTCTGATCAGGGATAGAACCTGCGTCCCTTGCATTGGAAGCTCAGTCTCAATCACTGGACCGCCAAAGAAGCCCATGTCTTTGTTTGTACTAATAAGGGGCTGATTAACCAAAAATATACACAGTAGGATACTATATAGCAACCAAAAAAAAAATAAGCCAGCTCTATGTGTATCGATGTGGAATGAGCTTGGGGCAAATTAGGAAAAAACAAAAGAAAAGGGCAAAACAGGAGACAGAATGCTACTGCTGGTGCAGCTATAGACAAAAGTATGGGCAATATATTCATGCGTGTTCATACACACATCAGCTATCTCTGAAATAATTTTCACATAATCCAACCTGCCCCTATACCTTGTCATGACCCCTCTGACTTATGTCTCTCTCCTCCTCACTCTGCTCCACCCACATTGGCCATTTTGCCTTTCTGGAACACCCCAAGCATCTGCCTGCCTTAGCTGGCAGGAACGCTGTTGTCCAGGATGTCCACAGGGCTCGCTTCTTCCCCTCCTTCAAGCCTCCGCTCAAATCTCCCCTTCCCGGTGAGACCTGCATGGACTACCCCAGTTAAATCACATCCTTCACCCTGTGTTTCCTCTTGCCCTCCTCTATCTTTTCTTTTTTTCCAGAGTATGTATCATCCTCCATTCTATTATTCAATCTGCTTCTGTACTGTGTTTATGGTCTATGGTCTGTTTCCCCTCAGGAGAATATAAACTTTACAAAAGGTAAGGGTCTTGGTTTTGTTCAGTGATGAAGACCCAGCATGAATACCTAGCTGGCGCTCAATAAATAGTTGCTTTTGAATAAGGGAATGGAAAGATACACAGGCAACTGGCAACAGTTGTTATAGGAGAACTGAGTTACTGAAGGGAAGGATGGGAAGGAGTACTTTTCAGTGCACACCCCTGTGTACTTTGTACCAGGTGCTTGTATGAATCGGTAAATAAATTTAATGGAAAATTTTAGCTCTGCCAACAGTGTGCTAGAACGGCCAGAAGTGACAGCCAACTCCTTTATCTGACATAGGAAGGTCCAGATGTACAGCAGTTAGGCACTTTGCCCAAGGTTACACAGGCAGGACTTAAACCCACATCTACTAACTCCAAAGCATTAGCTCTTAGTTATCATGCCTGTGATAACCTTGGCTTGGTGTTCTAACCAGTCAATCTAATGTGAAAGAAACGCTGAGCTGAGGTGTTCCACATGGGATGGTTTCTGCCTGACATTTCCCATTACAATGAACTCCAAGGGATGGTCTCAGTTCTTTTGATACATGAGACTTTGGCTGTAATGTGCATGGCTTGACAGAAACGGGACTACTGGGCTTGGAGCTTCTTTTATGAGAACTTCAAAATACAGTATTAAGGTCAGTCCCTTGGTAGCTGGAATGCAGGTTTCCTGAACCCTGCCCTCCCAGATATTTCTTCTTTCAAAGCAGTCAAGAGGTCTGGATGAGGTGCTGTGTGTATGGGGGTGACAGAGAGATCCGAGGGCGCTTGGTCCGGTCAAAGAGTAATGGGAGTATTCCGTGGGGCTGTTAAAGGCTGGCTGCTGAGCTTCCTGGACAGGACTGACTGCTGGGAGGCCTTCTTGGCCCGGGTCAGGTGGCGGACCCGCCGCTGCTGCTGCAGCCAGTAGAGCATTTCCACTTTGTCGTGCTTCAGCTTGTCCAGGTAGCGCTGCCCCTTGAAGGTCACCGGCTCGCCAAAGACTAACTCAATCTCTGCCAAGAGGGGAACCAAAGAAGCCTCCACCGTACTGAGCTTCCTTTGGAGATAGCCTCGGATTTGATTCTCCTCCAGGAAGCGACTCAGGCTCACGTTAGTCTTTTGGAAGAAGCGGTTAGGGTCGGAGGCTTGTCGCTCAAACCACTCCAGTCTCCCCAGCAGTATCTCCCGCAGCTGAATGGGCTGCAAGGCCCGCTCCCAGGCACTCACCAGTGCCGGCAGCTGCCTCAGGCGGGCATTGGAGCTGTATTTGATGGCCATGTCCAGCTGGTCCTTCTCTGGAACATCAAGCATGGACCAAACCCGCTCCAGACGCTTCTGCAGGCTCAGGATTTTGTGAGAATCTTCCAGGAAACTGCTCTTACTTCCTAGCCTGTGTTCCAGCACCGTGTCCCAATCCCACTCTCCTGGCACAAAATCTGGTTCGTCGTCTTCTAGCAAGGGGGGTGGGTGTTGGATCTTTATGGACTCTTTGATAGGGGCCACGGTCTCCACAGGATCCTCTTCTTCATACATTTGGAAGATGACATGGAGAAAATCTGTCTCCTGGGTGGTGAGGTACTTAAAGTAGTCACCCACAGACAAAGTGCTTTTCCACCAGTTGAGCCATCTGGCCTTGTTTGACCACCTGTCCCAGCTTTTACTTGCTTGGAGTGATGTGAAGGAGGACATCTTATCTGCATTGGACTGTAAAGCGCTTGCTTTCTGGGAATAAAGTTCAGCCAGCTTGGTGTTGATGATACGATGCTGTTTTTCTTGACGTAGGAAGGCTGAGGACAGGAAGGCTGACCAGTCTTTATTGGTTGTAGGCTCAACCAGGGGCCCCTGGTCAAAACTGAAGTGGTTGTTAGAGACACGGCTCATCAGCTCCGTGTAGACTTCCCTGATGCTACTGCCAAAAGTGCGATCCATATCCATTTGCTCGATAAGTTTGGGTTCCAGTTCACCAGTCAGGTGGTTGTATAGCACTCCGGCCCCCTCAATGTGGAAGGAATCCAAAAAGTTTCTTCCTGAGACCTGTACAGCAGCTATCTGGACCATCTGATTTCTTAGCTTCAAAGTAACAGTCAGTGGTTGTGGTTCAAGCAGAGGGGGTTTAGGGGGTTGGAGGCCCTGATGTTCCGAGGCCTCTTGCTCCTTAAGGCTGTTCAACATTCTCTGCAGCTCTTCTACGTGATGGGTAGCAGCTGGGCGGTAGGTCAGGGCCCCCAGGAGTGGGGGCAGCCCTGAGTCCAGCGGTGGGCACTGAGACCACCCCAACTGCATGTTCCTCATCATCTGCTTCAGGTCCTCAGCCACGGTGTCCCCGGCCAGCTCTGGTTTGCTCTCTGCCACCAGGACCAGTGGGGTTAAGGGGCGAGGGCTGAGCGGAGGAAGGCCCAGCTCATCTGCTAGCCTCCAGCCCTCACGCAGAGAGGGCATGGACTGGCCCCTCTGGAGCTGGGAGTAGAGGGGCAAGTGTGAGGTGGGGGGAGCCCGGCAGGGGGGAGCCACAGAGGACCCAGGCAGTGGTGCAATCTGTGAACTGAAGGCGCTCTCTCTCCTCTTTTGCATGGAGGACAGCCAGCGCAGAGGCTTCTTCTTCTTCAGCTGGGGAATGGACTTCAATTCCTTCATTGGATCCTCTTCAGGCTCACTGGCAAGGTCTCGCGGGCGGCTGAGCTGGATGAGGTAGTTCAGGCTGAGGTTGAAACGCGGCACTTGGGTGAAGCCAGGGATGTGATGCCATGGGACAGAGAAGAGCTTGAAAGCCCCAAGGCCAACGGCGCGCAGTCTGGGCGCGGAGACTTGGGCCTGCTCTTCTTTGAGCAGGGCAAGGAAGTCAGAGAGCAGGCTACGGTAGACGTCGGGGCCGGTGAGGAAAACTGTGCAGTCCCTGGCGAGGCTGGCGGCCAAGCGGGTAAGCGTGGCTGATTCAGTGAAGACGACTGCGGAGGTCGACATGAGCTTCTGGAGGTGCAGGTAGCGTACGAAGAGCTGCTCGCAGCTGAGCAGCACGTAGATCAGGAGCCGCTTCCGTAGCCTCTGATTGTTCAGGTGACTCATGCCAAGTTCGGAGGGGGGCTCCTGCCAGCTGCACTTCAGCTCGTCCAGGATGACCTCGGTGAAACGGAGCCGTACCTTGTGAGGCGCCCGCGCCTCCAGCCCGCTTTTGGTCAGCCGCTCGGCTACCTGGCGGCAGACCAACTCCGCCGTCAGCCGTGGAACCGGTAAAGGCAGTACCATCGGGACCTCCTGCGAGAGGTGCTCCTGAGACGCTGTGCGTGTCGTCCTGCGGGGGAAGAGCGACAACGGACGCAGCAATCGGTGGTAAATCCGCTGGAATTCGGGGTCTGGCTTATATGGCTCCATCTTAAGACGAGGCGGCGCCGACAGCGCCAGCGGCTCTAGCGGTTACTAAGGCAACGAGGGGCAGGAGGGCCCAAGTGCGCCTGCGTAATCCCTGCCCTCCGTCGCGTGGACGCTGGAAGGCGCAGAGCCTTGCGTGCGCGCGCACCGAAAGGCGGGGCAAAGAGTGGCTTCCGGGGCTCCACCCCCCTCCCCACGGCGCTGCTCTGGGCTGGAGCTTCAGATCCGGCCCTCGGGCGATAGTTGGATTCAGGATGGCGTCGGACTCGGAGGACCGCGGGACTGCCTGCACGGTGAGGGTCGAGGCCTCGTGTGGGAGCCTCGCTGGGCAGAGAACTTCGGCCCCTGGAGAGCGATCGTTAACTTGAGAATGGTGGAAGGAGCGGACACCTGGGTTGGGGCCTGGGGCCAGGGCTGGACTGTGAGAGTAGCAGGGCGCTTGGCATTAATGTTACGGGGTGTTGCTCCTGGAATGGTCGTGAGCGACAGTGAAGAAGGCGCTTGAGGAGGGGTCACAGGGGGCGTTACTCTAGGCCTTTGGGGGTGGTCCTAGGGGAGGTGGTGAAACAGGGTCACGCAAGGTTTCCCAGCTCCTGTCAGCCGGTCCCTGCCACCCTTGCAGCTGGAGTTCGCGGTGCAAATGACCTGTCAGAGCTGCGTGGACGCGGTGCGCACGTCTCTGCAAGGGATCGCAGGTAAGAACCAGATGAACTTTTGTGAGAGCAAACCGGAGACCTCGGGGAGGGCCAGGCAAATCTCTTAGGTCTACCCCGCTCCCGTTTACAGAGACAGAAATTAGAACCTGGAGAGAGGAAAGAATGTTCTCAGAGTCACACTGAGACCCAGAAATGGAGTCTAGTGTGCAGCTCTCAGGCCTGCTCTGCCAGATTTTTCTACTGGCCCTATCTGCCTGCCTTTCTGCTGTCTTAACCTCAGGTGCCTGGAAAGTAAGGAGGTGGGCAGAGAGTAGTCCCCCTACAGGGTGTTCCCTGGAAAATAGACAGTTCTTGCTTGAGAAGCAGCATAATCTTGACAAAACAAGCAGCAGCCCTGGCCATGTTCTATCCAAGTAGCCCTGGATTTTTTTTTTCCCCCACATTGCCGGGTATGTGGAACTTCCCCAATCAGGGATCAAACCTGTGTCACTGGCAATGGAAGTTCAGAGTCTCAACCACTGAACCACCAGGAAGGTCCTTGACCTGGCACGACCAGCAAGCTCTGAGAAGGCAAGGCCACCAACATGGCTTGGGGAACTGCCTGTCTGAGTCTGTTAAATGTTTATTCAGTGATTCAGCAGGTGTAGACCAGACACTGGGAGCTTTTTAGGGAGAAGAGTTCACAAGAGTTTCAGGCACAGCCCCTGCCCTCAGGTAAAATGAGCACTTGAGCTTTGTGCTGGGAAGAGCCCTTCTCAGAAGAACTTGGCTTCTGAAGTTGAGAGACTGGTGGCACTTGGCTCTGAATCAGGCAGTTGTGTGTCACTGGCGTTAGAGGTGTGTGTTCTAGAGTCAGACCGTTCAGGTTCAAATCTCCCCTTTGCCACTTAATAGCACTAAGGCCTCATGCACGTTACTTTTTTTTTTTTTTTTAATATTTATTTATCTGACTGCCTCAGATCTTTGTTGCGGCATGCAGGATCTTTCGTTGCAGCTCATTGGCTTAGTTGCTTTACGGCATGAGGCATCTCGGTTCCCTGACCAGGGATTGAACCCACGTCCCCTGTGCTGGAACGGCAATTCTTAACCACTGGAGCCCCAGGGAAGTCCTGCATGTTACTTTTTATTCCTGTTTCTTCAGCATTTAAATGTACAAGATAATGGAAGCTACCCCAGAAAATCATCAAGAAGAGTAAATTAGTTAATATGTGTAAAAGCACTTTAGAAAAGGACTTTGACATGTAGTGAGAGCCATCTGAATATTAGAACCTGTGAGAGGAAGGGTTTATAGGGGGTAAGCTGGCTGGGCAGAGGCATGAGGGGACATGTCCTTTGTTTAAAGTTATTCATACTGGTTTACTTTGGGGTTCCATTTTCACTCCTCAATATAGATTTTATGTATTTCTCATAGGCTTCTGCACTCATTAGTTCATCTAGTTCTGAAGGGTTACTGAATGTCATCTTGATCAGCTAACCGTCTTCATAACAGCATCTGCTGACAAGTCCTGGATTTTCTGCAGGAGCTTCATTCATTTCAGTTACCTCTCCTGATGGAGGAGAACTAGCAGCTTTCACACTTTCCACAGCACCAGACTCCTCTTATTTGTTCAATTTTGTCCTCACTCCAAGCAGACTATAGGAAATGACGTCTCCCAAAGCTTCCTGTGCAAATATGCTGATTCCCACTGTTCCAGCACCGTTTCCTGTTGTCGGTCATGCGTGTTTGCCTGTGAATTTACGCATGGAGAACAGCCGGGCTGGTGCACAGCGCCCGGGGGCTGCCTGCACTCGGCCCCCAGAGTGCTCCATGGCGGCTCCCAGCGCCACTTTCACAGAGGGTAGAGATCCTAAAGCTGGGTTTGCTCAGACTGTGTGTTTGAGGGTAGTGGGTGAGGGTCTGAGAAAACTGAACCATTCCACTGTGAGTGGAGTGTTCTGACCACAGCTTTCCAAGGCTGTTAGGCTCTCTACTTCCAGTAAAACATTCTTGCTGGGAGAGCAGACAACTGGACTTCTGCTGAACATAGGGCAGTTTCTAGCCCTTAACAGGTTTCTTAGTGACCAGATAAAGACTTCCAGATAAAGACTCTGTTTCCTAGCCTGGGTAACTGGAATCAGCTTGACTTCTCATGGACTGGCTTCCCAGAATGCAGAGAAGGAGAGGGAGAGATGGGTTGGTTGATTTGCTCTCTCCAGGAGACCTGGGGTTTGGGGAAGAAGGTTCTGCTTTCCTCCTAGGGGTAAGTGGGAGGCCCTCCCAGCCCAAGGCTCACTCCCTTGAATCCTTATCATCACTACCCTAGAGCCCCCTGTGGCCTTGTTTTTTCTCCCTTTCTGAGCTAAACAGGTACAGGCCTGGCCACACTCCACACCAGCCAGACTGAATTGCTACTTTGCTGGGGAGCCAGCCCTCCTGGTTCAGACCCACGTCAAGAGTTCAGGAAATGCATAGTCACAGGGAGCTTCTCGCCGGGGCTCTTCCACTTTCAGTGCAGAGAAGCAGCTCTTAGGAGATGTTGTCACTGCTCTGCTTAAAATCCTCTAATAGTAATAATATTAAGAGCTTCCCATAGGCCAGGCACTGTTCTAAGTGCTCTATGTGAGATGACTCATTTAGGCCTTCAGTAGCCCTCTGAAGTAGGTAGTATTATCATCTCCATTTGCAGATACAGAAACTGAAAACTCAAACAGAAAGGTTGAGTAAGTTGTCTAAGGCCACACAGCTAGTACATGGCAGACTCAGGATTTCAACTCCAGAGCCCACACCCTCAACCACTATACTCTGTGGCCTCTCCCAGCGGCCTCCCCTGCATTAAAATTAAATCCAGATTCTTTCCTCTTGTCTGCAGGGCTTTGTTTGATTGGTCTCCACTTGTGCCTTCACATCTTACTCTTCTCTTTACTCCAGCTGCGGCCCCTCTGGCCTTTCTCAGACACAGAGATGTCGTTCCTGTCTCGGGGTCTTTGCCCAAACTGTGTCCTCTTCTGGAATGTTCTTCCCTGACTACATTCAGTCCTTTGCTTCAAGGCTCAGAGAGACCTTCTATCTTGCGGTATCTCACTGTGCATGCTGTTCGCTGAATGCTTGGTAGGCAAGGTGCATGCGGAGAAGCCGGAAGAAAACTCAAGGAGCTGAAGGAACTGCAGATGCATTTATTCTCTCCTGGCTGGTGCAGCAACTATAGCACCAGACATAACATAACATAGCCTAACATAACATAACCTCCCCAACAAGGACTCCAGGTGGAGCTGATGTATGTTTACAGAACAAGTAACCCGTGGCCAAGCGAGTACCTTGTGACACGCATGCGCAATGCTGTTAATGATCTCAGTTGTTACATAATCATGCACAAAATGTGGGGTGAAAGCGAGAGGGCATGGGGCAAGACAGCCTGACCACGCCATCTTGGATAGTTTGCTTTTTCCCTACACCTTCCTTGACCAGCCTGTCTAAGTGCTCATCCCCGAGTTGTTCCCTAAGACCTGCTTCATTGATCACACATTGCACTACCCAAATCTCCCTGAGCGTGTGTTTGATATGCATGTTCCTGCCCTGGAATACATGCTGCTCTGTGGGTCAGAGACATCACCTGACTTGTTCCATGCTGCATCCCTGCCGCCTGGAATGGGGTGCATGATAGGTGCTCAGTGTACATTTGTTAAATGACTGAATAGGCATGTGAATCCCTTGCACTTCATGCTTGAGCCCTGAGAGCCTCAGACAGTCAGTCCTTTGGGGCCCAGTCCTACTTCCTGTGGGACAAAGGGACCAAACAGTCAGCTTTGGGGTTGGACAGGCTGCCTTCTGAGCTTTGTGATCTCAAGCCAGCTGCGTAACCCCCCTGCCTCATTTCACTTGCCCGAGGAGGACAGTATCACCATCCTGATGTGTGTAAAGCGGAGCACACAGCTTGTGGCATTCCCTAGAGGCTCAGGCCCCAGGAATGCCCTGCCATTCTCCCTACAGCCCCTTGGCACCCAGAAGCACCTCTGGGTGAATCCAGAGCACCAGGGCTTCACGCCAGGTGGCCCAGAATGAGATGTTGTGTGAAGTGATGGCAATTGGGTTCTTTGGAGAATTTTCTTCTGGCAGAATTGCCCTGTACTTGCTGGGGACGATATAGGTGTGTCTGTTTACAAACTTGGCCCCTCCCCCAACCGATGCGGCTGGGATCTATGGACGCAAGCCCATGGGACCTTTTGTAACACAGGCCAGATAGTCCTGCTTCTTGGATGCTGCCTCTTCCCAGTACCATTTCCGTGTTGCTTCGAGTTGGAAGGAATCTGAAGAGCTGAGGTTCCTTGTCTGTGCCTCAGGGATGATTATACCCTCCCTGGCAGGGGGAGGGGAGGAGGGAAGCCAAGGATGGAGGGAACCTGAATGGCTTAGCCTTCAGTCCACAGAGCGCTGGCTCAGCAGAGGGAAATGCCTTGTTTAACCTGTGTTTCCTGGGCTGCCCAGGACTCCTGGCTCGGTGGGCCTTACTCTCACCCAAAACAGCAAACACACTTACTAAGATCAGAGCAGGATGTTTGTAAGCTCCACAGGTGAGATCAACGTTCAGAGTTCCCAACCATCCCCTGTATTTTGGTTCAGGATTCAAATATCCTCTTAAAAGGTTTATGAGCCCTGAAGATCTGAATGAAAGAGAAACTCCTTCTTGTCCTTCTCTTGGCCCGACAGCCCTCAAAGCTGAGTGTTTGTCAGAATCACCCTGCAGGCTGTGTGCACAGCAGGGTAACTCAGGGATTTGGTGGGCAGTTGAGAGCCACTGACTTTTGAACCTGATGCTTGTGGACCACACAAAGGATTGCAGTCCACACAGCTTGAGTTATGTGGGGCAAATGGGAGCTGCTGCCGGAGGATGGAGGAGGGGGCCCCAAAGCTGGAGGCTGGAGCTGCTTCTCAGGGTGAGCAGTGTCCAGGGCAAGTGCTTGGAAGCTGGAGCTAGGCTGCCTGAGATGAGTTCAAGTCCCTCCATTTACTACAGTGCAGTGAGTTTGAGTAAGATCTGGGAGTTGGTGATGGACATAGAAGCCTGTCGTGCTGCAGTCCATGGGGTCTCAGAGTCAGACACTACTGAGCGACTGAACTGAACTTAGAGCAAGTTCTTGACTTTGCTGTGGCTCAGTTTTCTCACCTGTAAAGTGGGGATAACAGTGCCCAACTCCTAAGGTTACTTGTGTTAATATAGGTACAGTATGAGAAAGCCCACAGTGCATGCTCAGTAAATGTTAGCTTTCATGATGATGGTGATAGCCCATCGTTTCTTTTATGTGTCCTGGCTTTATTGAGATATAATTCATGTATTATAAAATTCATCCATTAAAGTATACAATTCAGTGGTTTTTAGTATATTCAGAGTTGTGCAACCATTACCACTATCAATTTTTGTATTTCATCACCTCATGAAGAAATTGTACCTTTCAGGGTCTTCCCTGGTGGTCCAGTAGTTACGACTCTGCCTGACAGTGCAGGGGACACAGGTTCAGTCCCTGGGGGAAGACCCCACATGCCACATAGCAGCTAAGCCGAGAACCACAATGCTGAGACCACGTTCTGCTACGACTAAAGCCCGGGGGCCTACAGCTCGCAGTTACCGAAGCCCAAGTGCAGAGAGCCCGCATTTCACAACAAGAGCAGCCACCACAATGCACCACGCATGTGCACCACGACCAGAGAGTGGCCCCACTCACTACAACTAGAGAAAGCCCAAGCGCAGCACTGAAGACCCAGTACAGCCAAAAGTAAAATAAAAATAAATAAATCTTAAATTATACCCTTCAGCTATCACCCTCCTGTTCTCCTGCCCCCTCCTCTACTTTCAGTCTCTGTAGATTTACCTGTGCTGGATATTTCATCCACAGTGACATCATCCAATATGTAGTCTTGGTAACTGGCTTTCACTTAATGTTTTTAAGGTCCATCCACATCACAGCATGTATCAGTGCTTCATTTCTTTTTATGGCTGAATGTCTACCATCATATGGCTCTACATTTTGTTTATTCATTCATCATTTGGTGGGCTTTTGAGTTGTTTTCACCTTTTGACTATCATGAATATTGTGACTATCAATAGCCCACTTTTTTTTTTCAGATTTATTTTTTGGTCAATGTATGACAAAAACCACTACAATATTGTAAAGTAATTAGCCTCCAACTAATAAAAATAAATGGAAAAAAAAAGATTTATTTTTTGGCTGTGGTGGGTCTTCGTTGCTGCCTGCAGGCTTTCTCTAGTTGCAGTGAGTGTGGGCTACTCTTTCTTGTGATGCTTGGGCTTCTTATTGCAGAGGCTTCTCATTGCAGAGCATAGGCTCTAGGTGCTTGGGCTTCAGTAGTTGGAGCACGTGGGCTCAGTAGTCGTGGCACATAGGCTTAGTTGCTCTGCAGCATGTGGGATCTTCCTGGACCAGGGACCAAGCCAGTGTACCTTGAATTGCAAAGCACACTCTTAACTGCTGGACCACCAGGGAAGCCTGAGAGCCCACTTTTATATAAACATTTTTTCATCATTTCTTTTTTTTTTCATTTATTTTTTCAAAATTGAAGTACAGTTGATTTACGACATTATGTTCAAATATTTTTAAAAGAACTATCTGTTTCAAAGTGCTACCCATGTGGCTCAGTGGGTAAAGAGTCCACCTGCAATGCAGGAAATAGAGGAGATGCCAGTGCGATCCCTTGGGTTGGGAAGATCTCCTAGAGGAGGGCATGGCAACCCATTTCAGTATCCTTGCCTGGAGAATCCCATGGACAGAGGAGCCTGACGGGCTACAGTCCATGGGGTTGCAAAGAGTTGGACACGAATGAAGTGACTGAGCATGCTCACACGCATCTATGCTTCAAACATAGATGAATAACTCTTGGCACAAAATAAGAACTCACAACAGTCCTGGGGGCAAGGTGACGTTATCCTCACTTCGTAAAGAAACAAGCTCAGAGAGGTTAAGGGCCTGGACTTCCCTGGGGATCCAGTGGCTAAGACTTGAATCTTCCACTGCAGGGGCCAAGGGTTTGATCCCTGATTGGGGAGCTAAGACCCCACATGCTGGTTGGCACAGCTGGAAAAAAAAGAGAGGTTAAGGGCCTTATAGCTCGAAGGCAGCTTTGGAGCTTGCCTCCGGCCACAGAAAGGTGATGAAGATGGGGATGGTGAATGACCGTCTGCTTCTTTCTTCCCTGCTCCCAGCAGAGGGGTGCTAGCCCTCTGCTGCCCTCTGCCCCCTGTCTTCTAGGCGTCCAAAGTGTGGAGGTGCAGTTGGAGAACCAGATGGTCCTGGTGCAGACCACCCTGCCCAGCCAGGAGGTGCAGGCCCTTCTAGAAGGCACTGGGAGGCAGGCGGTCCTCAAGGGCATGGGCAGTGGCCTGTTGCGTGAGTAACCACTATGGCCTTGGACTCTCTGGGAGGGAAGTGGCCTGGGTGTGGTACAGCTCTGACCAACCATAGGATCTGGGGACTTTGGGTCGGAGAGGCTTCGGAGACCACGTGAAGGTTACGTGGGGCTCTCTCCCTGCCCTTTCCAAACTGATGAACGAGTGGGGCTGGGTGAGGTGGCGAGCCAGCCCTGGTGTCTGATACCTTACAGAGAATTTAGGGGCAGCCGTGGCCATTCTCGGGGGGCCTGGCCCTGTGCAGGGAGTGGTGCGCTTCCTGCAGCTGACCCCTGAGCGCTGCCTAATCGAGGGGACCATTGATGGCCTGCAGCCTGGGCTGCATGGACTCCACATCCATCAGTTCGGGGACCTCACGAGGAACTGCAACAGGTGAGTCCTGTGGAACCTCCCTGGAGCATCCTCATTGCCCGGGTTGTGCACCCACTGTTTGTAGGGTGCTGTACTCAGCTTTTTACACACAAATTCACATATGGTCCTCACAAGTACCCTGGGAGGTGTATACACACAAGCCCAGTTTACAGATGAGAAAACTGAGGCTCAGAAAGGTTACATGACTTGTCAAAAGCCCTAGAGCATGTAAATGACAGACTGGGGACTTGAACCAAAATCTGACCTTGACACTCCTGCTCCTAGCTCCCAGATGGAAGGTGACTCCTTAACACGAGAGGGTCAGTTCTCCATGCATGTCATGGTATTTATCATGCTGCAATTAGTGCTTACTCATCCAGGTTTACCCTAGAGGCCTGCTGAAGACAGGTCTCATGACTGATTCTTCTTAGTGATCTCAACCCAGAGCCTGGTACAGAGTGGGTCCGTTTGTTGAATGGGTAGATGAATAAATGAATGAGTGGATGAATGGAACAAATGTAGTTAAAGTAAGAGGATGGATCACCTGGTCCATGAGCTGTGGTTTCACTGCCTACCTGCTATCTTTTCTTCTTAGCTGTGGGGACCACTTTAACCCTGATGGAATGTCCCATGGGGGCCCCCAGGACTCTGAACGGGTAAGTGTTGGTCTTGGGCTGGCAGAGAACCCAAGATCTCAGAGGCACGACAGGCAGCTCTTGGAGCCTGAGAGTGTGATACCATTTGGGGGGAGTCTTTCTCCCTCGTTTTATCTTGTTCAGTTTAGAAACATTTCTAGACACTTCCTGTGCTCAAGGCCTGACCCTGTCTCACAGCCTGGTGAGGGAGACACTCAGAACTCCGTGGTTGCAGCACAGCCAGAGCATCTTTGCAGGAGCCTCCGGGAGGCCCTGGGAACCCAGAGCAAGCTCCAGATCCAGTCCGAAGGGCACAGGCAGTGGGAGAGAGCTTCCCAGAGAAGGTGATGGTGTGGGAAGTTAAAGGTTTTACCTAAAGTAAAAAGGCTGCTCCCGGGACTTCTCTGGATGTCCAAGGGCTAAGATTCCAAGCACCCAGTGCAGGGGGCTTGGGTTCAATCCCCATCAGGGAACCAGATCTCACATGCTGCAACTAAAGATCCCTTGTGCTATAACTAAGACCTGGCACAGCCAAATAATAATAAAAAGGCCATTTTAAAAGGCCATTCCTGACTCTGCAGCTCCTGGCCCTGCACATTGCTTTTACACCAGAGAATTGGCCCCCGAGGCCATGAGTCACATGACACCTTCATGGTTTTTGCCTTATCTGAGGACTACTTGTTCTGCTAGTTACTCAACGTTTTGATTTAAATTGACTGATTTTTTTCCCCCTAAAGAAAATTAAATTAATTTTTAACGTTTTAATCTATCTCAGAACATGATTTCAAACATATTCTGAAGTGGACAGACTGGTGTCCCAAACCCCTGTGTCCCTGTCACCCAGCTTTAACAGTTGACAGCTTGTGGCCAGTCCCATTCCATCTGCACCCCTGGCCTTTCTCCGTTATTTTGAAGAAAATCGAGACATCATTCATGTAATTCAAGTAGATTTATTTTGAACAAGAAATGATATTGCCACAGAAAATGAGAAACCAGTACTTCTAGCCCCAAAAGGAGGATCCTTATAAAAATAAATCAGTGCAGACCTTAAAAGTGTTGTGACGGGAGTTCCCTGGCAGTCCAGTGGTTAGGACTCCACACTTCTGTTGCAGGGGGCATGGGTTCGATCCCTGGTTGGGGAACTAAGATCCTGCAAACCATTCAGTGTGACCAAAAAAAAAAAAAACAAACAGTGTCATTAAACGCCTACAAGGGTCTGCGGCCTGCTTATCTTTGTTAGAGTGCTTAGTGAATGTTAAGAGAGGTCCTGGGTGTTGTCCAGGAGGACCGCCTTCTCTCCTGGGGATATTTCTTATAAGCAAGGTGAAAAGACAGCCCTCAGATTGGGGATATTTCTTAATGCCCCATCTACATACACCTAATTCCATCTCCTCCACTTGTGGTGCTATGTGTTCCCCTCCTTGCGAATTCAGTACCAGGGCAAACAAATGAAAACATGGTGTGTGTTTCTTAATTCATATAAGTGATTATTCTCTTTTTTTTTTTGACTTCTGACAGCTCTGTCACATTTTTAACAGTCAAAAGTTTTTACTCCTCACCCGCCACTCCTAGGGAGCTGAGGAAGCCTTTCTGTCAGATCTGCATAGTGCCCTGCTTATGTTCTATGTGTCAGTTATCTATTGCTGAGAATCAAATTACTTTAAACTTAAGAGTTTCGTTTTTTGTTTGTGGCGTGAGGCTTGCAGGATCTTAATTCCCCAACCAAGGATTAAACTGGGGCCCTTGGCAGTGAAAGCACCAAGTCCTAACCACTGGACCACCAGGGAATTCCCAAATTTAGGGGTTTGAAACAGTAAGCATTTGTCATCTCACAGTTTCTCTGGGGTAGGAATCTGGACACAGCTTAGTTGGCGCTTCTGGCTGAGTGTCTCTCAAGTCTTGATGAGAGGAAGACCCACTTCCACACTTGTGCATGTTGCTGTTGGCAGGCCTCCCTGGGTGTTGGCCAGAGACCTCAGTCCTGTGCCCCGTGAGCCTTTCCCTAGGGCAGCACACAGCACTGCAGCTGCCTGTCCTCAGAGCCAGAGAGAGAAGGCGTCTAAGACCCAAGCCAGCTCCTTTTGAAACCTAAGTTCGGAGGTGATACCTGGCCCAGACCACACTCAGCAGGTGTGACTCCAGGGGGTGCATCCTCAAGGCCATCTTCCTCACTCAGCCTCAAAAGATGCTGAGCAGATGAGGCAGGGAGAGTGGGAGCGGAGGCTTAGCACGGGACGCCCAGCAGACAGAGCCCTGGAGGCAGGAACCCTCAAGACTGGGTTCTGGGAGGAAGTGGAGTTTCGAAGGCCAAGAGACTGCCTTAGCCTGGGCCTGCTAGTGGTGGGGCATCTGAAGGGTCTGGTGCCAGCTGCTCCATTGTCCCCAAGCCCTTGTACAGACGGAGGAAAACTTGAGCAAGGGCTCCATGACCAAGCCACCATGATGACTGGCACGTTCCTTTGGGATTTCTGCATCTGGTTTTGCCCAAACGGAAGTGAATTCAGTGAGGGGATTTATATCCAAGCCTGGTTGTCCCTTTGCACGTCTCCTAGCTGGTTTCCATGCTTCCTTCCGCCCTCCCACTGCCGCTCCAGTCCTTCCCCTCCCCCTCCGCGCGCTGCATTTAAGAAATTGATCCAAAGCATGGGGTAACCATGTCACACCCCTCCTGAAACGCTTCTTGACTCCCCAGTCCCCGAGGGTACAGATCCCACATGGCTGCATGGTGTGACATTCGCTGCCACCTGGTCCAGTTCCACCTACCCGTGTGCACGGGAGGGACCTTCTGCCTGATGACACCTCTGAGCCACATACCGGGTGCTCACTCCCTCCGCCCCTAGAAACTCCTCCGCATCCCTTACCTTCCCACCACAAAAGGCCCCAACACCAGGTCCAACAAAAAGTGCCAGGTGTCGGCAACAGAAGTCCCCCAGGAAAACAAGATGAAGCAGAGGTAGCTCTTCTGGCTGCTTGCTCATCAGTCCCATCCTGTGGCAACATCCTTTGTGACCAGCCCAAGGCGAGGCCATGGGTACAAGTCCATGTTGGCAGGGATCCTTCTGCCCAAAGTGTCAGGTTGGGGACAGTTTATTTGCACAAATCCTACTGTGACTCGCCAGTAGGGTCTTGTCACGGGGAAACACACTCACTGTTGCGCTAACCCTGTGTTTCGCAGCCACTAGTCTGTTCCACGTCCGGTTCCCCACAGTGTTCCAAACCCCTTGAGGGTGGCTGACCACGTATGCATCCCCAACCCCCAAACCCCACCTGGCAGAGGGTGACTGATGTAGGAAGTGCTCAGTAGCTGTGTTGTTGTTATTTTAGTTGCTAAGTCGAGTCTGTGCTTGCTAAGTCGACTCTTTGTGACTGCACAGACTGTAGCCCTCCAGGCTCCTCTGTCCATGGGATTTCCCAGACAAGAATAGTGGAATCAGTTGCCATTTCCTTCTCCAGGAGATCTTGCCAACCCAAGGATCGAACTCATTTCTCCTTCACTGGCAGGCAGATTCTTCACCACTGAGCCACCAAGGAAGCCCCCAGTAGCTGTGTTAGCACACTTTTATACCTTCAAGAGGAAACGTGGGCAGAAACAGTCTTGGGGGCAGGATATGTCCTCTGCTCCTGTGTTTCTTCTCTCTCTTCCTGGAGGCTGGACATCAGGGAAGGGATGCTGGCTGCCTCTGATGGTCAGGAAGCCAAGCTTGGCCAACTTAAGCGCAGGGGAACTGCAGACTGCCAGGGGCTGACAGTGTCATCGGGAGGCTGGAGAACTGGGCTTGCAAAGAAGCAGGAAGTGGGGTCAGTGCTGAGGCTGAGATGCAGACTGGGCAGATACCTCGTAGGGAAAGCAGTCTGGGGTAGTGGCGTGACTTCCTAGGGAGGGTCTCTGTGGCCATGTCCAGTGTGCCGTCATTCTACCCAGGATTTTAGTTCCAGGGAGAGAGTCCAGTTGCCTTCTGTGTGTCCTGGGCTGTCCCTTCATCCTACCAGACTGAACCTGTAGGAGGACACTGCTACTCTGGGGAAGGGGAATGAGACACTGGGAAGCCAGAAGTCAGCCGCCGTGTCCCATGTGCCCTCTTCCCCCGGCTCTTACTGCAGCACCGCGGAGACCTGGGGAATGTCCATGCCGATGAGGATGGCCGAGCTGTCTTCAGGATTGAGGACGAGCAACTGAAGGTGAGGTGGAGGAGAAGGCGGGGACCTTTCCTAACAGATCCAACGTCTGAGGCTGTTGTCTCCCCTCAAAGGTGTGGGATGTGATTGGCCGAAGCCTGGTCGTTGATGAGGGAGAAGATGACCTGGGCCGGGGCGGGCATCCCTTGTCCAAGATCACAGGGAACTCGGGAGAGAGGTGAGCACTCTGCCTGTGGCGCGCGCGGAGACCTGGAGGGGCCCAGCGGGTGCTCAGCTCGACCCCATGCTCTTCCGCAGGTTGGCCTGTGGCATCATCGCACGCGCCGCTGGCCTTTTCCAGAACCCAAAGCAGATCTGCTCCTGTGATGGCCTCACCATCTGGGAGGAGCGGGGCCGGCCCATCGCTGGTCAGGGACGGAAGGAGCCCGCCCAGCCCCCTGCCCACCTCTGAGCACGGCCTCTGCCTTGGGTCTGTCACTGTCCTCCCTGCTGAGCACCGTCCACTTCCAGAGGGAGGCCCTGCTCACCCAGTCCTGGAGAACCAGTGTGCGGGCTGTGTTTCTTCTCAAAGGGTTGCTTGCTCTTCTCTTGGCAAATTAAAGTTTTATTTTCACATGGAACTTTGCGGTTTGTCTGTGTCCCCTCCTTCCTTAATGGGCTTAGTAAACACAGTCCCTCTGCCTCTGTCCTCCCTGTCAAGGGCCACTTCTTGGCTTTGGAGGCAAAGAAAACTGAATTCAAATCCACAGTTTGGGGACTATCCAGTGGTCCAGTGGTTTAGACTCCATGCTTCCACTGCAGGGGGCATGGGTGTGATTCCTGGTTGGGGAAGTTTGCATGCCACATGGAACAGCCAAAAAGAAAAGAAGAGAAAATCCACACAGTTCCTGAGGGCCACTTCCTTATCCTCAGGGTAACAGCAAAAGACCATAGCAGACATATTTCTGTTTGTGGCCTGACCCCCTCCCTTCACTGTGGCCAGTTGGAACCAAGAGGGACACCTGACCCATGCAGGGCCTTGCTTTCCTGAAGAAATCAAAGGAGATCCAGAGCTGTGGGTGGGCCTTTTCTCCCTGCCTTTGTCATTGCTATTCAGTCGCCAAGTCATGTCTGACTCTCTGCGACCCCATGGACTGCAGCATGCCAGGTCTCTCCTGTCTTCACTATCTCCTGGAGTTTGCTCAGATTTATGTCCATTGAGTCGATGATGCTATCTAACCATCTCATCCTCTGTAGCGCTCTTCCCCTTTTGCTGTCAATCTCTCAGCATCAGGGTCTTTTCCAGTGAGTCGGCTCTTTGCATCAAGTAGCTAAACTACTGGAGCTTAGTTCACTGATATCCTAAGACGTTGATGTTCATGCTGGCCATCTGCTTGACCACATCCAATTTACCTTGATTCATGGACCTAACATTCCAGGACCCTATGCAATATTGTTCTTCACAGCATCAGACTTTACTGTCACCACCAGACACGTTCACAACTGAGCATTGTTTCCGCTTTGGCCCAGCCGCTTCATTCCTTCTCCCTGCCTTAGGGACTGAATATCAGAAAAAGCTGCTAGATCTGCTGGGGAGGAGGAATAAGGCAGATTCACAGGAAGAACCTAAGAGTCGCAGGAGAATGCCAGATGCTCCAGAGTCCCCAGTCTGGGCCTTCCCTGAGGCCAGCTACCTCCTGACCTAGAAGTCAAGAGACAGTTCTGTATCCCTTCCAATGCATCACCACCCACTTTTTAAAAAAATCTGGCTTGAGTTGATTTCTTTATTCACAAGTAAAAGGCTCTTAATTAATGGAATGAATAAAGTGCTTGGCACAGGGCCTGGCACACGGTAGGTTGGGAGCAGTGGTGGTGAACCTGAGGCTCCACGGGGCGCCTGGAGGCAGACAGAGCTGAGCTCCTGTCTCACACAGATGGCCAATATCCAAGGACCGGTGTGTGAGGCCGGGAACTCGGGCTCCCCACTCAGCTGTTCTGCTCCCCTGCCCCCACTGGACTGTGTCTCTCTTGCTCATCCATGACAAAGCTGCTTTCGTGCCCAGGTAGGTAGGCTGGCAGTGTGCAAACTTTGCCCCTCACTTGGCCTGCTTGGAGCCGGGTGGGTGGTTTCACAGTCTGTTGGCCTTGGCTTAGATGTGCCTGGCTCTGCTCCTATTCCCCAGGCCCTGCCTGTTTCCCCGTCAAGGCTGCTGGCTCTGCCTCTAGCCCTGTTCTTTCTCACCAAATCTACATTGGTTGCTTTCCAGCTTTCCTTGGTTCCTGGGGAACCAAGTCCTTTTAAGCCTAGGGCCCAGGCAGGCTGTGTTTCACCACCTCAGAATCATTGCAGAAACTCCTCCTGGACTCTGCCCACAGCCAACCCCTGACCTCCTCTCACCTTCATCTGGAATTCTAGCTAGTTTTAACCCATTTATGGCTAAGCTGCTCACCATCCCCTGCCACTCTGTTTCTACTCCTAAGGGATCAATATTCCCATTAACTTTTCTCTTTGAAACTCTCAGCAGTGTGGTTTTCAAACTTTGAACTTTGTTTTTAAATCACAGAACACTGTTCAAATACCTTGAAACCCCAGCTATAAAACAGAAATGGAACTACAACTAAAGATGCTTAGTTGTGACTAAGCTCCCCCAAAGCCCTGGAGCTCTAGGGAGCACAGTTGGAAAGTGAAAGTGTGTCGATCAGTCATGTCTGACTCTTTGCAACCCCATGGACTGGCCCTCCAGGCTCCTGCTCCTCTGTCCATGGGATTCTCCAGGCAAGAATACCAGAGTGTGGTGCCATTTCCTTCTCCAGGGGATCTTCCCGACCCAGGGATCGAACCCACGTCTCCTGGATTGCAGGCAGGCTCTTTACTGTCTGAGCCACCAGGGAATCTTCCAGTTGGAAAATCTTTGCCAAATTCGGGCATTTTTGTGTGATTCTAATTTTAAAAAGACCATGGGGTTCAAGTCCAAGTGGGGTTAAGTTTGACCTCTTACCTTCTGAGATGGCCTATACTCTGTGTGGGAAGTGTGTTTCTCTCTAAATAAATCCGCTTCTTACCTAACAGAAAAGAAAACTTAGTCATATTCAGTTCAGTTCAGTCGCTCAGTTGTGTCTGACTCTTTGCGACCCCATGAATCGCAGCACACCAGGCCTCCCTGTCCATCACCAACTCCTGGAGTCTACTCAAATTCATGTCCATCGAGTGGGTGATGCCATCCAACCATCTCATCCTCTGTCATCCCCGTCTCCTCCTGCCCTCAATCATACTAGTCATATTAGCTAATACCTATATAATGATGATTAAGTGCCAGGTTATCTTCTGAACACTTTACATTCAGTAATTCATTGAATCCTCATGACAAAACTTCAAGGTAGATTCTGTTACATATTTCTTTATTTTTCTTAGCCACACCTTGTGGCTTATGGGATCTTAGCAATGAAAGGGTGGAGTCCTAACCAGTGGACTGCCAGGGAATTCCCAGTAGGTTCTGTTATTATCCCAGGTTACAGATGAGAAAAGAGAAACACAGAGTGATTATGTAACTTGCACAAGATCACACAGCTAGTAACACGGCCAAATCTAGATTCAGACCCAGGTACTCTGGCTCTGAGGCTATATTGGTTCTCATTATAAAGTATGAAAAGCAGGAGTCATTTGCTATAAATAGTTTGCAGGGAATTCCTTGGAGGTCTGGTGGTTAGGTCTGCCTGCCAATGCAGGAGAAGCAGGTTCAATCCCTGGGTCAGGAAGATACCCTAGAGAAGGTAATGGCAACCCACTCCAGTATTCTTGCCTGGAGAATCCCATGAACAGAGGAGCCTGGAGCGCTACAGTCCATGGGATCGAAAAGAGTCAAACAGGACTGAGCAATTGGGCATATATGCATCTGCACGTATAACAGATTCTCTTTGCTGCACAGCAGAAAGTATTAATAATGCAACATTATAAATCAACTGAACTTCAACAAATTTTGTTTTAATCCCTTGTATGTGATTTTGAAGCACACAAAATTTGAGAACTACTAGTTGCAAGTTATAAAAACTGGTTAGCTCAGAATATTCTCTGGTGGTACAGTGATTAGGACTCAGCTCTTTCACTGTCATGGCCCAGGTTCAATCCCTGGTTCAGGAACTAAGATCTTGCATGCCACAGGGCACCCACCCCCCTAAAAAAAAAAAAGAAAACTGGAATGCATTGTAGTAAAGGTCAGAACCATCCTCTAGCCCCCAAAACCTTCACCTCTAGTTAGTTTATTTATTGATTGTTAAGAATTTTTCTAGTTACCTGGAATTGCTACTGCTTTTAGCTTTTTTATTTACGTGGTTGCTGCACTGGATCTTAGTTGTGGCCCTTGGGATCTTTAGTTGTGACATGTGGGATTTAGTTCCTTGACCAGGGATCAAACTCCAGCCCCTTGCCTTGTGAGCGTGGCGTCTCAGCCACTGAACCATCAGGGAAGTCCCTTCCCCTCTAATTTAAATACATGCATGTCACCTATCCAAAAAGGACTTGAGGTGTCTTAGCCAGAGAGAAAGAGCAGATTATATCTAAAAATTCAGATGAGGGACACGCCAGTACAGAGAGAGGGCTCAGCTTTAAGGCCAAGAGGAAACTGCTCTGGGTTCCCCGGGTCTAATTGCTTAATAATACAATTTCAGCAGGATAGAATCCTGTCACTGTGTCTATTTTGCCTTTTAGTGGTTTTAGTGGACATGAAGAGACTGTGATTATGCTTTTATTTTGTCAAGTTACTGTGATTGGCTCTTAATGGCCCTCCAGATTAGCAGGTCTTACTCTCTGGATGCTATAAATATTACCTTATTGGAGAAAAGGATCTTGGCAGATATGATTGAATTACAGATTTTGAGATGAGGTTATCCTGGATGACCTGGATGGGCCCTAAATGCAAGTACCTGTATTCTTACAAGAAGGCCTAGCAAGTTGTTTTTGTTTTTTTTGCTCCACCACAGAGCATGTAGGATCTTAGTTCCCTGAGCAGAGATCGAACTCTCACCCCCTGCATTGGAAGCATGGAGTCTTAACCATTAGACCACTAGGGAAGTCCTGAGAGAAATTTAATGATGTTGACCCTGGAGACTAGAGGGATTCCTAGGGATGCCAGCAGCCACCAGAAGCTACAACAGCTGGAAGAGGCAAGCAGTGGTTTCTCTCTTAGTCTTAAAGGAACAAGGCCCTGCTGACACGTTGATTTCAGCCCAGTGCTACTAATTTTGGACTTTTAGCCTGCAGAACTGTGAAAGAATAACTTTTTTAAACACATACGTTATTTATTGGCTGTACTGGGTCTTCACTGCCGCATGGGCTTTTCTCTAGTTGCAGTGAGCGGGGCCTTCTCTTGCTTGTTGCTGAGCACTCTAGGGTGCACAGGCTCAGTAGTTGCAGTCCCCAGCTTCTAGAGCACAGGCTCAGTAGCTGTGGTTTATGGGCTTAGTTGCTCCTTGCTGTGTGGGATCCTCCCAGACTAGGATCAAATCCATGTCTCCCGCATTGTCAGGAGGATTCTTTAGTGCTGAGCCACCAGGAAGCCCTTGCCACATCACATTCTGTTGTTTTAACCAACCCAGGTTTTGGCGATTTGTTACAGCATCCGCAGGAAACTAATACGGTTACTAT